TGCTGTTTAGTCTATTAAAAGTAACGCAGCTCATTTTGACACATTGTGGCTTATGAAGTACTCAATCATACATCCATCTGGGGGCAAGCTGGAGGTGGTGGCCCCCTTCACCAGCACAGCTGGATCTAGAAGAAGGCATCTGCCCATGATCTAGTTTAGGATGCTTTACACAGTGGAGCATCTGCCTATACCTGTGTCATTCCCAGCCTTTCTCATGGAAGTAGATTTTAAAAGAAAAAAAACCCAAAAGAACCACCATAGGAGTGGCAGAGTGTTTCAGAGATACCAATTTCCCAGGGAGGGCAGTTTCAGAGAACAGAAACACTAAAGGAAGTTGCGGTGTGTTTACATATGATCCACTTACTTAAAACAAATTATCAGCAGAAAAAAAAAAAAGGCAATATCCCAAGGCAACAGAAAGGAAATCAAGTGTATCAAAGCTATTCCTGAACTCCCATTACCTACCCACTTGGCAACGCTGCCTTCTAAAATTGTACTACACCATTCATTTATACTCTCATGATGCAAGGGGAAAAGGAATAAAAAACTTCCCCATCTTACCCCCCCTCTTTTTATTAAACTATCTTAAAAACAGATCTGTATTGTTACTTCAGGGTTACTAATGCTAGTACTGTATATATTTATAGATGAGGTATTCCTTTCTGTCTGAAGCATATGAGGTAATAAGTAGCTGGAATTGTCATGGTGATTTATTAACATATTCTCTAGGAGAAGCCCTGCACCTGCGTCTGTGCAGACAGAACACCCACGAAGGCTGAACTCACCCTTACACAGCCCACAAGATCTTAAAAGGAAATGCTCCAAATTTAGACCTGCTCCAACAGGTGTCTTTTACTGTCTCACTTTGCATGACCATAAATATCAGAGGTGGAGCAAAAAGCTCCCTGTCCATTGTAATCATGCTTTGAAAACAAATACCTTTGCCCCCTCCGAAAGCAAAGGCGGCAGCTATGGAATTCTCATCATTTCCTCACTCCTTCATCCTGCCAAGACCCAAGTCAGAGAGATGTCACCGGCAAAACCAGGCTCCAGAGATGAGCACATAACTTTATTTTTTGCTCTTCAAAGGCCCCTAAACTGGCTCCAAAACTTCCCCAAACTGTATTTCTTTCATTCTAATATCTCATCTTGCAACTATCTGCCAAAGTGAATGACATGCACAGGCTGTTCATGGCTTTTTATAAGCTCTCATTACCCAAACAGGGAACCATTTCCTTGAAAATGCTTTCCCCAGCAGCATTAGTCTCTCTAGGCACCACCAATAAATTTGTCTCCTGGCCCATCCTGATGCACACCAAAATGTGCCTGGATGGATGTATTTGATGCTGTTTTGCACTTGTTTACTGGAGGGAGGATGCTACCTGTGGGACTTGTCATCAGGGTAATTAACGGTGGGGGGGGGGGAACAATTTTAACAGCTGAATGGAAAGCTTTGCCAGATTTGCTCTGGCAAGCAAAGGAGAAAAATCCAGACTTCTTTCTGTGATGTAACATGGAAGGGCATTCTCAAAACCAAAATGGCTATCCACAACTCACAAAACACCAAAACAAACGAAAAAACACAAATCTGGAAAAGAAATCCTAACCAAACTGAGAAAGAGAATAACAGGTTACACATGAACTTAGAAATCCTATTAAAATGTTTCACTCTAACACTTTTGTTATTACAAAATGCCTGAGTCAAGAGCAAATAAATATTTAATACTTAACAGGTACTCATGAGAATGTGTGTTTTCCCCTGTACCTCCCCACCAGCTGCTCTTTTATGGCAGGAAAGCGAAAAGCGTGAAATCCAATGATAGGAAGAAGGCAAAGGTCAGGAAAAAGGTTTTTCTTCAAGGATTTAAATTAGCGTTCTACAGCTTTGGATGTTTTGTCAACATAACTTCCCTCCTGTGAGAAGGGGAAGCCAAAGGTCCTTTGAACCATTTCTGTATGGGATCTAGATTTTTACCGGTAACAAGATTCCCAGCTTTAAAGAAAAATTCATCTTCCCTCTTCCCATTCCTTTCACCACTCCCTCCCTGTCCCTCCTTCTACTCCCCTCCTTAAAAAGGGAGAGAAAAAAGAAAATAGAAAAAGAAAAGGATCTGAAGAGCAAAACAAGCACTGAAGGAGTTCTAGAGTTCATGTAACAAGACCACCATAGCCCTTCAAAGGGACCATTAAAAGCAAAACAAACAAAAGCAACACCCTCAAGATGTCTATTGTATTTTACAGAGGAACGAATGAGTGTACTGGAAATTCTCCCATCTTCCCACAAAGTCTGTTATTTCATCAAAACAAAGTCCAGACATCAAGAAACAGCCAACATGGTAGCTGAAAGTCAGTCACTTCAAGTGATCCATGAAGAAAAACGAGATTGGGCTTGCTCTTTTTTTTCCCCTCCTTCTTGCTTTACTATGATGTATTAAAAAAAGACTTCAAAGATCGTTTTAAGCATCGCTTTTGTTTCTCACATGAGAAAGTCAGGGTTTGAGCAGGTCTAGACAACACAGTGGTTAAAACATCATTAGCTGCCAACACTTTGTCTTCCTAGAGCTCCCACAGTTGTTGCTACCCTGGAATTGCCTCATTTGAAAATATTTGGCAATTTCCATATACTACGTTGCTTCCCTCAGAGCTGCTCCACCATTGTAGCTATGAAACACAGAAAGCACATGAACATCCACAGCAGGTGGTTTCAGGTGTCAGAGGCTCACCCAGGTGGATACTGGCCCAATGCTTCTGCATGATGCTTGAGAACACCTTTTTCTTAATTTTTTTTTTTCTTCTTTTTAACACTTAGCAGATCTCTCTTCATGCTTCTAGACTATCCTATCATCTGTGGGCTTTACTTGGAGGGTGGTTAACACTTTACATTAGCTTTGATAGCTGTGCATATGAAAATGTAAGAAAGACAGGGAGACATACAGATTTTTATCCCATCTGTGTATCACCAACACTACATTTACCAAATCCCACACAGTTATGCTCAAGATGATCTGCTGAAGACAATGTATCTGAACAGGTGTTCCTGAAGGCAAAGTTTTGCCTGCAGGATAAAGCCTGATTAATTTAGCTATAGGGTAACAGGAATGAGAATCCTCTGGTTAGGTGAATGTGTAAAATCAGAGGTCAACTAAGATCACACATGTTACAGCAATTTCCAAGTCATCATATCACAGCCGCTCGCTAGTGCTAGGAGAAAGCCATAAAGACAAGCCTATTACTAACAGTAGATAAAATATTACTCCCTAGCCCAAAATAGATCTATTAGTCTTTATCTGCTCAAAAACACAGAATGCAACAGTGCTGAATTTCCTACGCTATGCAGATCACAGCTACGCTATGCTGTGTATGTACAGAAGGCTTGCCTGCAGCTTGGTCCCTGCCACATCCAAGAAAAACCCAGGTGAGCACCAGTGGGAACACGCTGGGACGGATTCTTTCCATCACAGCAGTTAACACAGGGCTCACTCTTGACCACCTTCCTTCTAGGGTAATCCGTAAACTCCGGCAGAAGAGGAGTCATCTTTCCATGGGCACAGAGCATCTCCCTTGCATCTGGTAGTGGGATTTTCAAGGAAAGATTACACCTAGCTGTGGTCTACAGCACACACCAGAGGCATTTTCACAGAAAAGATTATCTAGGAGCAGACCCCAGATGTCCATATCCTTGACTTACAAGGTCCACATGGATGAATTTCCCAGCTCTCAGATGGCTGCCCCACAGGTGTCTAATCTCAGAGTTGAAAGTCTGACTGTCAGCCTGGGACAGACTACAGGCTGGGTCTGAAGGAGCCAGCAGAGCTTTCCACAAAAAATGTCAATGTGTGTCCGAGAAAACTAAAATCACTGTACAGAGGAGTGTAAAGAGCAACAAGCCATTTTTCATTCTTCTACTAATGGACACGAATTACACTGTGCAGGAAGCTCAGCTAGTCTGGCGTATTTAATAAATCCATCCAAGTGCCCAGTGCAGTTTAATGGTGGATGTAACATGGATTCTCTAATGAATCTTTTTGGGCCTGGAAACACAGCTGAGGTTTCGTGCCTTATATTGCACATGAGTGTCATGAAATCCTGAGATCCCTTCTTCGAGATACTCTGTAAATCTGTCTGGGACTCAGTCAATGAGACCAGTATTTCATTTATGGACATAAGTCTATCACTTCTGAATCTCTGTATCTAATCTGTATCTGAACTATAGCAATACTGGCTTCGTTTCAAGGAGCATTACCTTTTCTCCATTCCTTTTCTTCCCCTGGAATTTTCCACAATAAAGGTATCAGACAAGCCTATCAACTTGTTGTAATGATGTAATGAATAATAAAATACTACTCTCTCAATATTGCAAAAGCTGCTTCTTCCTCTTCCCTTCTCATCCTACCATCTCATCTTTAACCATTACTCCTAGTCCACAGTTATTTTCCCCCATCCCAAGTCAGATTCTATTACAAGGACTCATAAACTTACTTCTGAAGGATGGATCTTTTAATGACAAGTTCTTCATCCAAGTCAGCTTCATTAGCCATGAAGAGCAATCTTTTTCCTGTGTCATCCACGCCAATGAAGTCACGCTGCTCCACTGAAGTAGAAAATCAAACACAATCATTATACAAGCCTGTCTTAATGCAGGCTGGAAAGACAAATGGGACCACCAACCACCCCCGAAATATGAAATACTAGGTTTCAGACTAACACAGCAAATCAATGAATTTGCAAAAGTTATCCACAATATTTATGAACTTCTTTTCAGTTAGGGTAGCTGATACATATCATGACATTAAAAGCACTGGCTCTGCAAGCTTTTTGCATCCTTTTTATGAAGATGCCAACTACAGGTCCTGACATGCAACACTCCATCTTGAGTTGTGCTTTCACTTCTCTCGCTTTTTTTTTTTTTTTTTTTAATAAACAAACTCTGGCTACTTGAATTTACACAACAAACCCAAGGCAAGCAGAGAGTTCTTCAAAATCCAAATGTTTCTTCCTCATCATAAATCACTCCACATTAGAATCTGGTGCTCTGGAGAGGATTATGATTTCAGTTAAGACCTAACTACTTTGCAACTGATCTCCTATTTCAGATAAATACAGATAGCAATAGAAAACCTACATCACATACACAAGCACACATAAAAGTACAGATTATAAGACTCCTAACATTGATGTTTCTGGGTGGGCTAACTTGGTTTAAATATCTACTTATAAAACCTCCAACCAAGAGAATACCTAATAGTCACATATATTATTGTGGCAACTCCCTTCTCCTGAAATCAGTGACTATGCATCAACAGTGACTTTGTTCTACTGAAACATAAAGCATTTCTTTTTGAACAATTTTCCACAACACCTGAATACAGTGGTGGCAGCTTATTCTAATTTGCACTTTGTGGCATGTTCCATCATTCTGGTGGCAACCATACACTGATCTTTACAGGAACACAAGCTGTACAAGAATGCTATAGTACAGTTCTAACAAAAACCTCTTTTCTCCCACTAAATACTATCATTTTGGGCCCAACTGGCAAATATACAATCTCTTAAGTTCTAAGCCTTTAAGCACGTTGGAGTAACAGCATGCTCTATAAGTAGTTAATGCTCTAAGATCTTTTCTCAGCCAAACTATTTTTAACCCTATTTTCCCCAGTTCAGCTCTATGCCTCATTTTCCTTTTACTTGTTCCTTCAGAGTTATCATAGCAATCACCACTATCAAAATAGTCAGACCTATGCAGCTGTTGCAAGTTCTCCTAGCAGCCTTTGATCCAAGTCATCAAGGATACCCTCTTCAGAAATCCCCCCCATCCCCTCTCAGAAATTAATCATACAGCAAAGAAATACAAAAATAGGCCCGAACATGTAATACTATTACAAATTAAGTACAATTATGTTAAAGCTCACTTGCTGTAAAAACTCAGAAATAAGTCTTGAAAGCAGTGTGGATTCTCATGCTAAGGAGAGCAATGAAGTTTGAGAATAGGGGCTAACCAACCATTGCCACTGCCACCTACCCAGGGTTTCCTGACAGGCTAGAAACGTAACAGTGACAGATTTTCCTCCATCAAAATACCAATACTTCTCTCAAACTTCAGGTCATGGCTGCCCATCTCCTGACTGTTCTTACGGCAGTCTATTACAGTGCTATCGCAAAGCTCTATGCAGTAACAAAAAGGGAAAAAAAAACTTGATGAAAATGGGACCAGGTACATGACTGCCACCAAACTGGTTTCTCTTGCTTGTGTCATAGGAAAGAAAGAGACAGTGAAACCATGTGAGAGCACTATTTTTTTTTTTCACTAGTGGGTGCCAGGTCAGGTTAGGTTTCTTCCTGTACACTGGCAATAAATAGCATTACTTTTGTAATTTAGAAAAGACAAAAGTTATTAGTAAAATCAATTTCCCAGAGATACAAGAGTGCTGTTTTAAATCACACTGGCATTACTTAGTGAGGAAAAAAATAAAATGGAAGAATGAATACATAACTAGTTTATAAAATCCCTGCAAGGAAAAAATGAGAAAAATATTAAAGCTGCAGTGATGGTAACTAAAAAAAAAAAAAAATATCTTTTAAAGTATAAAAATGGAATGCAGGATGTGTTCTGCCTCCTCATGATAGATAAATAAGGATCTGACACAGCTATTGAAATTTATTGATTACCTTAGAAGTTAGATCCCCATCAATTTTGAGGGCTTTAATGACCTAAAGAAATCATGACATCACAAGAGAATGGAAGTTGAGCAATTCACTGATGAGAAGAAATAATTTTCAGTCAGATTTTCTAAAATGCTTTTTTAATCAAACATAATTAATTGACACTTGGGAAAAAGACACCTTTGTTAAAGATTCAGTATCCCCACCCTTTCAATTAAAGTGAGAGAATGCACACGATGCAGTCTGCAAGACCACCAAGAGGTCTTCTGGCAAACACAGGGAATACCAGTGATGACATGCCTGCTGCTTTCAAGACAAGAAAAACAAGCAGGAAAGAGTCACCATCCCCATCTTTTCTGCCTTTCTTTATACACAGAAAGGTTCAGACCCTCTTTTCCACTCAATCCCTTAGCAGGTCATCTTTAAGCATATGGCTCCATTCTGGGTGTCTGAATTCCTAACACTCTCTGTTTATTTGCGTTACTACCATTCACTAGCACTCTGCTTTTTTTTTTTTTTATTGCCATACCTCTTATTGACCAATTAATAATCTTGTTGGCTTTTTTATTGTTCATATATGATCCCCTAAATATAAAAGCCAATGAATTTCACCCTGTAGCATGCAGCTGAGTTATGTCAAGCATTTCAGGAAACCATCAGTGTGAATTTATAGCTGCTTAACACTACAATTCATGCTAATTTAAAAACTGTTCCTTAAATTACAGTTCTTGAATGTTCAATAATATCCCAAAAGCAAATACTTGACATATGTGAAATAAAAGTCTTGTTGCTCCTTCTCAGAAATTGAATGAATTTGTAGGAACAGTAAAACAATAAATAATGCTCCAAATAGATCTAGTGGCTCATCAGGATTAAGGATCCATTTCCTAATACTAACACTTGAACAGTACAGTGCAAGTACATAGAAACGTATTTGTCACAATTTAGAGAAGGAGCTAATAGTGCCACATACTATGAAAAGCTGCCTTCTTCCCAAAGCAGCAAATCCCAAACACATTCCATGTTAATATCTTGTCTTCAGCTGCTTACAAGCTTCATCAAATTTTAACTGTTTGGGATGAAATTTCCAATGCCAGGTGCCTGCCTTAAAAGGAACATTTGGAAAACTTCAGCAAAAACAGTTCAGCTGCTTCTAAGGCTAAAGGAAAAAAAGAAGCGTTTAGCCTAAGCTTAAACGGTTAGGTGGCCCTCTAGTATCCCAGTTCTTTGGAGAAGCAGCATGACGACATTCAGTAAGCACTGCTGACCTGTGTATCAGGAGTGTACTTTTTGCCATCTAACTCCACTACAAATCTTTGAAAACTGCAGTTTCGTGTTCTCTTTCAAGACATTTATTTTTGCTGCAAAAATTTCTGCATATTTTAGTCTTAAGGAAAGGTTGTTTCAGTTCCTCAGCTCCTAGAACTGATCAAATAGCAGGTGCCATCTAAAGTCTCTGTACTATCAGGTGGTACAAGCAAAACACACAAGCCATGAGGCTCCAGAGCCATGCTGTGATGACTGCTCCAGGGGAAAGAGCTTGATCTGCAGTGGTTTTGCAACCTGTTTTTTACAAGGAAATAAAACTTACAAGCTCACAAGGATCAGGGGAAAGAAAAGCATAAAAATGAGTACTCTGCAAGACAGGCTGGAAGGGAGAGACAGTAGTCCCTGAAAACTGGTGGAAATTGGGACTGTCACTGAAAGGACACTAGACTACAGAGACAGCAGTCAGAAGAAAAAAACAAAGGTGGCTATGGCCAGATAAATGAAGCAGGTCGAGGAGGAGAAGTCAGAATTGGAACAGGGGATGGGACTGGTAGTGAAAGAAGAATAATACATGACAAAGAGAAGCTGGACTCTGACAAGGATGCTTGAAGGAGCAGACTAAGCAAAGAGAACAAGAATGGAAGCTGGTGGTGGCAAGAAGGCAGCATGGGAAAGGAGATACGGATGAGCTAGGACAATGCTGACAGCAATGGGGTGCATTCAGTCAAGTAGGAATAAAAGTCAGGAGGGTCTAATGCTCCCTAAAATGTACTGTCCCTCCCCAGAACCTGGAGAAAAAAAACCCAAAATTCCCCAGTCTCAGCACTCCCCTGCTTTTAGCAAATGACTGAAAAAGGTCTGGTAGGATACATGTCTCATCCAAGGCAGTTCATAGAGAACAACTTACTAGACTATCCATGACGGCTCAAGTAGAGTAGTTTTGAGTGGGAGACCTTAGCATCCAGCCCCACAGAAAAACACTGTAGGTGTCAAAACACTTCCATATGATGGAATTTTAATGTTTTCAAGTTTGGTCTTTTACAGATCTAAGAAATCATACACAAATTTTAACAAGTCATATAGGAAGAGTAACGCTACAAAGTCAAGCACACAGACATTAAAAAACAAGCCAATTAAGACTGCATGTGCAACCTGGTGTGTTTACATTTACAAAGAGTCTTCAGATGATCTTGTTTATCCTTATAGATCTCCTCACCCTCATCCTGTATGCTCAGAGCTCACGTACTGGGCAGCTCTATGATGTTTAACCACAGACACATTAGTTTATAACTCCTGAATGCTCAACTCTGTGGCTGTAGTAGTGCTCTTGACAATGTTTTATGTGCCATTATCACAGAGGGGTTTAGAGCTGTTTGAGAGTCCAAGTCCTAAATGCTTTCAGCCCTACTATCCTTACACTTTGCTCCAGAAAGTCTTTTCATGCAGAGTCTAAGAAGCTTTCTGTTAAAAACACATTTCCTCCACTTTCAGACACACAGTCCAACTCTTGGCTTGCATTCCACTCCTCTCTCAAACAGTTTGAAGCTACGCTTTCTTATTCATATTACTGTAATGCCTCTGAGCTTTAATCATGGACCAGTACCCACTAAGCTGGCAATAATCAAGCCTCAGCAATTTAAGAGATATCATTAAAAGAAAATGAGAGGTATGGTATGGGAACAACCGTATGATATTTGGTACTTTTAGCATATAAGTAATATGGGGATAATAGCCCTGCCCTGCCTTACAGCAGTGTTGTGAGAATAGATACATTAAAGATTACAAGGCACTAACTAAGATATTATGGTAAGAGGGACAAGATAAGCATCTAACCAAGTCCTTGAAATCAGTGGGAGTTTTGCCTAGCAAAAGCCTCCTGGATGTGATCTCAGAAGAGTAATTCAGTACATACCATGAGAGTGGAGAACTTTTCTAGAAGTATTTGTTACCCATCTAGCACTGGTCCCTTCAGTCAATGGTAAAATTCCCAGCTATAATCTGGCTGATGCTTAGTGCTCCTGAAAAGCCTAACGGTTTTAATGTTCATATGTAACAAAAATTTAGGGTTTGATCCAAAACTCACTGAAGTCACCTGGAGCTTTTCCCTTAACTCTTGTGAGCTTTGGATCAGAGCCTGCAAGATTACATGAGTCTAATAGTTAATTCTGAGCTGGAAAAAAACAAGTCACAGCCCCACCAGGGAATCTGAGGAAAACCAGGGTATCTATATGTTTTTTTATTTCTTTTGCTCTCGGACTGATAACTAAACATATCATACATACCAGTGGTTTCTCTATAATTGATTAATAAATAAATATATGTATTCCTATCTACATACCTGGCTTTTTTTTCCCTTTCTGTCCCGGTACCACATCTGTGGGTTCATGAGTTTTCTTCATCAACATGGAGAGAGTAGCATCATGTGTCCGAAAGAGATCCACAACTTTATATAAATCAATATCTGTGATCAGATCGCAGCTCAACACCAAGACATCAGTCTGCCAAAGAAGAAAAAAAAAACCACCACAAACCCTTCAGAAATACAAATGACCACATAAGGATTAGCATTTGAAGACTCAACAACAAATACACCCATAACTTTTTTTTTTTTTTTTAATTTAAAAAACAGAAGGTCTGCCATACTCTGCAAAAATAGTTACTGGTTTGTACCAGTTCACTTTTCTCGAGTCCTGCTATTACTGAATTAGTTGTTTGGTTAATGCTTATCCAGCTCTGGACCTTAAAGAATATGTGACCATCTAAACTGCCATCATCTGCTCCTAAGGGAAAGAACCAGGACATAGAAGCCACAGCTTTCAAGACTGCTGTGAAATTCTGCAGTATTTACAACAACTACTTTCAGTTATATAATGATGCTGAAAAAAAAAAAAAAATCTTTCTGAAGAAGTCTTTTTTAGCTGAGTTTGCATCTGGCTACAAACCACTGGAAAAGATATTTGGGCTATGTTATTTTATCGAGGGAAAAAAAAGCAAAGACTATCTAGGATGTGATTTACTCAGTAATTGCACTGCGATGGTGGGCTCAGTTTAGAAATACATTTCCTAAAACCAGCAATACCCCATATTAAAAAAAAAAAAAAAGGAAGTTAGGTCCTATTTAATAACAGGCTTGTATTTAATTTTGATCTCAAAGGATTCCAAAGTGCCTTACAAAGTATTTAAGAGAACTGCTGCATCTAGCACAGAAACATTGTCACATATTGAGTGAGATGTAGCAGCTTCATTAACCATGCACACTATCAATAGACTGGCTAAAAACTCTTACTTAGAAACAATTTTTTGTATTTCACATGGGTTGTGGAATATACTGCCAAAAATCCACTAGTTTGGCAATTATCTTCATTTAAACTAATCCTAACATAATATTTGCTCAGCATGGCCTACAGAAAAGTGGCACGTTTCCGCTTTATTTTTTGTTAATGATCAACCTTCTAAACATGTCTCAAGAAAATAGTGTTTCTTTCTTGACATCTTACCATTTTCACTTTCTGTGCTACCCTTTACTACGGTAAGCCTCTCTGCATAGTGTGACATGGCTTCCTAGTTTTGTCTTTTTAAAAGACTTTATTTAATAAGTAGGGCACTAGAAAATATTTGTTAAAATCCGAGTCAATTAACTCATGGAGGTTCAGTAATTCTACCTTTACTTTTGAAAACCATCTTGGTTCAAAGCAAACTAGTTCAGCATTGACCTTTTACTACAGAAAGGTTTATTACAGAAAGGTTTGCTTTACAGACTTTTAATCCAATACTAGGAGATTCCACATTGTAGGTGAGACTAACTGAAGTCTGGTATTTACATTATTTGACAGGTTCTCCTACAAATGTTAGGCAGTTTCACATGTTTACTAATAAGTCATTGGAACTCATCATGTCACAAACTGTTAGAGCTGCTGATTTGGCATGCTGTGCAAAAGGTCAAGCTCTTCAATTTTCATCTGATTTCTCCTCACTTTACTGAGAAACACCTGGCTGCTTTACAGGAAAGAACAATGTACAGGTTGAGAATTTTAGACATTCAAAACCTGACTTGAATCTCCCCTTCTAACATATTTTCAAAACATGTATTTTATATTACAGTTTTGCCCGGGAGAAGCGCTTTAATTATCACTTCTCTAAAACAAACAACATGCACACACTGGGGAAAAAAACCAACCCAAACCACTGAAGCAAGCAGCCCAGCACTCTGGAGCAGCCCTGCCCCAGCATTCCAGTATGTACAAAGAAAGTAAGACAAAAATTCAACTTGGTATGGAAGTACATCTCTTGCTTCATAACTGTAAATAGTGAAGAAACACACATTAAATATCTTGGAAAATCCTGCAAAATTTACACCTATTCTGTTTTTACAAGAACATAAATGAGCTACAATATTTGCAGAAAAGGCCAAAAGGTATCCAAGAACCATATAAATAAGACTTGTACTTTTCAAGCTGAGTTTGTTGAAGGAAGAGATCTCCAGCTTCAAATAGAAATGCACTCACTCCAGTGGTGAAAATATGAAATAAAGAGAAAGAGACGGATGCACCAATGGACTTATCCTAAGGAGCAAGTATCTGGACTTGTAAGACAAATCTTGTAATTATTTCACATTTTACTAAATGCTTTAATCTGTCACTATAGCAAAAACCCAACAAGCGTTTCATAGTTGTGAACAGGCTCCTAGGTTTTTTCTCCTCGCTATAGAACAAGCTTTTTTGCAAAAACTGAATGCAAGACCCCTGAGGAGCATACGGGAACAGAACCACCAAATGTCTGGTTGCCATCTGTTCTACCCATTTACTCTCCCAATATGTAAATAAACGTCAGTGAGCACAGGGACCAGTGAAACACACAGTTGCTCTGTAAAGCCCACATTTCTGCCTCTCCTCCTGATGAGCAGAGCAGTGGCCTCAGAAGCACGCTGAGAATACACCATGAAAGGCTCTTTTGGGACTTGACAGCCTCCCCTTTGAAACACCACCCCCCTCATAAATAAAGCCCTCACTGTCTAATGGATGCACTTTTTTCCAGTGTACAACTCCTGAACGAATAAACTAATGGCTGAATGAAAAAATAAACTATCCTAGAACCCTAGCAGAAGTGTGTGTTTTTCTTTACGTTTTTAGGGTGGGTGTAGAAGAAAGAAAATAAATGGCAGAGCTTGTGGGTTTTTTTACATATATACATGCCAAATAAATACAGTGCACCTTTCGCAATGAGCCACCGATACAAAGAAGAGAAGTACGTACTTACTACATGCACTCACGTGCTAACAAGGGGTATGTGAACATACTTGACTTCATGAATTATGCAAACACCTAAGTACACACACACACACACACATCTCTTAATGAAATACATGTAACAATGATTACATCAACCCCAAACTATTATACAAACAGATGATAAGAATCAACATGAACTGATTAAAAAACACCCAGCAAGCACACACCCCAACCAGAACCACTGCAAAGGAAGGAAAATGCATGCACAAATGCACTCTCAACACCCATTACAACCATGGGAAGCACAAGGTAAAGGTCTTAACTCAAAGGAGGACCATCTAATGGATGGAGCATGAAACAAATGCTTGGAATTTCTGGCATTTTCCTGCTCTGCCCAACTTGATACGTGCCTTTTTGTTTACTACTTTTATGACACAGAGGAGCCCTCGTCACAGACCAGGGCTCTACCACAGAAGCTGCTATACAGGCCAGGTGAAAATACCATCAAGCGTAAGAAAAGAGAACAGCAAATGACTTTTGGTTGGGCAACACAAGGAAACACTGCAGTGCTCCTCAGGTATAGGGACAGCAGGCCTAGCTTGCTGTTAGCACAGCATACATTTTTTGTAAGCATCACAAAAGCCACAGAAAAGACAAGGAGAATATGACACTCCTTGGAAGAGTCACTTGTGCCTCAGTAATCCCATTTAACCTCAGATTTGCAATTTATGCACTCAAATTCAGAATTTAGACTTTGCTGCTGATCAGTGGAGAAAAACAAGGCCTTGCAAAGATCATGCCACCTATGATCCAAGCATCAGGGAGATGTTTCTCTGTCCCTACTGACCATGGATGGAACATAGGCTGTTCAGTCAAGTACATCAACAAGGCACATAAGGCCTCCAGATCTCTGCTCTCCCTTTCTAAGACTGCCTAACAGCACTTCACCATCAAACATTTCTGAGCTGTGAGATGCTCAGATATTATGAGATAACTTACATACTCAATCTGGAGAAATAAAACAGTGTAACATAAAACATAAAGAGATTTATACAAAATAGAGGAAAAAAAAACAGTAAAGAAAAAATCCTCAAACCCAACATGTCAACAATTATATTAAACCCAGCACAATATGGAAAATCTACACAAAAACAAGACCAAAAAGCAGAATGTTTCAAGAACTCAGTTCAAGACAACCGATTTAAAAATAGAAAACATGTTTTCAATGGAGCTAATTCATACCACAGATCAAAAGATGGATGCAATTATATGGTGTAATATACCAGTATTAAAAAAAAAAAAAAAGCCTTGGACTTTCTCACACCCTGTATACAAAGGCAATGCTAAAAACTCTTTTACATTCAGCAATAATTGCTGGATTCCTCTGTTCAAACAGGAGATATCAAGGTTACCACAGATAGCTGGCAGCAAATGATGAATTTTTAGTGGTATTCACTATGCTTTTTCTATCAAGTATAGCCAAGGGCAGGACCTCGTAGCCTAAACTGCTGAGGGCCTCAAAAACTGCAGACTAGAAAATGAGAAAACATGTGTTGCAAGGAAATCTCTAATTTGAACAAAATCAGCCTCAAGAGAAAGAGGAAAACAAATGTCAGATTGTATTATAAACAGAGCAGTAGAACCAGCTCCTAACAGAACTGAAGACAGACAAAACATTGAAGTGAAATGCTAAAAGTTTCCAATTGCAAAGTATTACAGCTGAGACTTTGACAGGAAAAGAAAAAAAAATTGAGAGATTAGATAAGACTCTGTTCCTACACTCAGTCTAAGTTAACACATGCACAGAGAACTTTGCATCACTTCCTGCGGTGTCACCATACAACAGGGGAGAGAGGAACAAGTTATAATTACTGCTGGAATTAAGACTGAGAGTTTTATACACAATAGCCTGGAACTTCACCCACATGTTGCATTAACAGTGGGGTTTGTGTGTAATGCTTTTATTATTCTAAAGAGTGGGAAGGGAAAGAACAGTTTGGCTGTGGGCAAGCATTTTGATTGCTTGTTAGCATGCTCCAGGCAAAGCCAAAGATTGCTCCTAGCAATTGCATTACTCACCACTCTTCAGATCAGTAAGTTACATCCAAGGCTTTAGAGAATCCCTTTTTATCTCAGTCTCCATTAAGAGTCCTCCAATTTCCACACCTGTGACCTCTTTGAAGCTCTACGGCTGTTGCTGTAACTGAAGCAGGGAACCTCATTTATTTTTTGATGTCTGTAGGATCTTGTTAGCTACCAACTGAAACGGC